TAAGAACAGTTACAGTTCCAAAATGAAGGAAGTTTCTGAAGCTGTGCATACTGTGGTGTACCCGAAATGGCATCGGTGTCCACCAGACTCATTTGGCGATAACAGTTTTTGCCATCATGTGCAAAGTTCGCCGACCCGACAGCAGGGAGGTGGTAAAGATGTGTGACATTTGCAGGAATAGCGCTTAACAAGATTACGAAAATCACCTTCACTTGAGATTCCAATGCTTTTCGAGCTCTATCGAGATTTTGAACTTGTTCATGTTCAGCTTGCAACTGATCGTTGAGACGTCCTGCTTCAGCGGCGCTCTGTAAAATGGATCACCATGGCAGAAAGAAGCAGGCAATTTTGAAATAACTAAAGAGAAAACAACATTTGAGGTAGACTACAACGACGTAGCGATTTGAAGGCACATTCAACGGTTGAGTAGGTGAGCTAATGTGCTCGAAAATAAAGGAGCTGTGGTGCTTGGCCACCAGTACTGAATAAAAGAAATAAAAAACTGCTGAAAGCTTCAAAAATCAGAGCGCTGCTCGCATGGGCGGGGTTTGCTCCGTTCCGTGAATCTCGTTGGTCAGTCAGCCAATCCTCCGATACGGCAAAATACGGTAGGATACGGTAAAGATATAGGGGCAACTGATGAGATCCACGTAGGGGCGGAGCGCAAACCTCGCTCAACCTATCGAAGCGCAATATGACTTTGAGTTTTTTTTTACAGATTTTTTCTCCTAGCTTCCATCACTGCCGAATCAACCACCACAGTAACTGATATGTTTTGAAAGCATTCATCTGATCAGTCGCAGAATGTGCCTTTAGTTCTTCTTCAATGCGCTCTCAACCTCTGCGCTGATTTGTGGAGCTTGAAAATGAAGTAAGCACCATATACGATGTCAATAATTGATACGGTGCTCGAGCAAAACCATTTCGAGAATCACTGAGATGGCACCCAGTTTCGATTCTGGTATATATAAGATGTTATAACATTACGATTAGATGAGATAGTGGAAACTTTCACACACCTTTCTTGCTCGATCGTCAGCACTCTTCAACTCATTGAGAGCTTCTTCCATTTCGGATTGAAGTTGCTGAAATAAAAAAATCAAGAGCGATGTTGAGGTCCAGACACAGTAGAGTGAATAAATTACTCATAAAGAGGGGAAAATTCCAATAATTTATGATCATTTTCTTGGCGTACCGTGCACCGCCAGGAGAGTTTCTTCAGAGCTGCTCGAAACAATCGTAGCAGCTCTAATGCGTGTAGACCTTTACCGTTTTGACAATTTCGCTGAGTCCCCGTCAAATTTTGATTTCAACAGTGGGCTCACTCTAATGAAATGGTCCCTTACGGCAGGAATGATAACGCGAAGAGAATCATTTTCGGCTTAAAATGGCAAAACGCTACAAAATCTTGATTTCATCTCGGACCAAAATGCATGTTGTCCACTATTTCCAGGAAGGCTTTCATATTCTATCCATATCAATTCTTACCTGGATCTCACCCTCCAACTTCCTCTTTTGCGCACTCAGTGCAGCGTTGGCGTTTGATAAAGAAGTTGCTGTTTCCTTATGATCTGCACATTCAAACTCAGCCTGACGGCGAGATCGTTCAGCCTAAAATCACTTATACAACATTAAACTATTACCATATTCTAATTAGGAGGTGCCACATCTGAGAACATAGGGGTTCTATGTGGTTATTATTGAAAGGTAAAGAGCTGCCCTGTCAACTGTTTCGCCCTCACTCGATGAGAGTTATCGAGCCAAATGCCCGAGAAAAGTTTCCTTTCGCCGCTAAGGTCGAACTAACCAGCCAAGCCAGCATCGGTTAATGAAACTCTAGGCTACCAAATGAAAGCTGCAAATAGTAATGACCTGTTCATAAGCTATTGCAAGATCGTCTTTCTCTTGCTGGGCGATTTGAGCGCGTCGTTCGGCGACCATCACTTGTTCACGTGCCTCTTCTCGGAGTCGCTGTTCTTCTTCGACTTGCAACTTAAAGGCACATTATGTAGCAAGCATTCGTCGGAGACCCTGATTAAAGAATGAATACTGAATGGTATAACCTACCTGAAGGTCCCGAGTTGAGTCCTGATACCGTTTCAAATTCTTCTGCGCGTCCGCATTCGCTTTATTAGAATGATCAAGAGCAATTTCCAGTTCCTAAGAAGTCGAACTAACGAATACACATAGAAAGTTGTAAAGAACAAAGAAACATGAAGCAATTGAACTCAGTCACGTGAGTCTGAGCGCCAATGAACTAGTAAAAACTGGTTCTAAAAATTCTAGTAGAACCTTCTCCAATAGCGGGTACTTTGAAATGGGACATTGATTCGATGTGTGTACATAGAATCGTTAACCTCTCTTAACTGATAGCGATTGTGCAATTCACTTTGCTGTCAACTGAGCTGTCAGCTTGTGAGAGAAAAATTTTCTTGGCTCGTTATAATTTGATTTAAAGTTTTGTAAAACAGATAAGGCCGAGGAAAGAGTCGCAATTGAGAAATTATACTTCCCACAGATGTCATAAATAGCACTCACATTTATGTCACTTTCCAGCTTCTTCTTCATTCTCAACAAATCAGCGCGACCACGTGATTCGCTTTCCAGCGAGGCTTGTATGCTTTCAGTGCTCGATGATGATTTTTTCGTGTATTCTCGAATTCTTCCTCCTGTAAAACGTAAACCATAATAGCTTAGCAAATTGAATATTAAGCGAAGGAAACTATTCTTGGGGAGTAATTTTTCAATTCTTATAAATCGACATTTGTCTAGGGGCGACGGAAGATTTGTTCTGTACTTACTACTAAAAACTGCAAAGGAGTGCTTCCATATCGTTTCCATTTCAAGGAAGTTCAACTGGACATTCATGTCAGGGAGGCTGATTGTTTCCGCCAGTCTACTGGCAATAAATGTGGTTCTCAGATGTGATATGTAGCTCAAGATTCGCCAGCGAAAGCAAGGGCGAGGTACATGATGTGGGCATTGCTTATACTGTTGCTCGTATAGATAGCTGAATGGTCAGGAAATCGCAAACTCATGACTGCGAAAGCCTAGGCCAAAAAGACAGTTTATCGCGGTCAGTGTTCGGCCACTAAATGAAATGTCCGGTTACTGAATTAGGACGATGCCCGTTGAGTGTAAACCACTCCGATGCGAGCAAGATAGCTCCCAGAAGAACTCTATAACATAAAGGCAGCGATTACGATAAGGAAGAAGCGCATCGGGGAAGCATACGCACCAAATGAAGCAGTTACTTGGCTGCCGAAAAGCGCTGGTTGCTGAGCAGGACTTCGAAAGCACTCCGCCCCAAAAGCGATCCGCCCACTTTTTTGGTGATTTGGACGAGCTGCGTTGCCAGCAGCGGCACAACTGGAGCAACTCGATTGGAGCATGGTTTGGCATGTGTCACCAAACGCGTTGCGATGAACTCGTTCATACGTCCGCTTTCTGAGCTGTTACCTGTTCATGAGTGAAAACCAACGGCCAAAAAAGGGGTCCCGTTTTGCGTTTTCTTGACGGATTTCTCCGCTTTTTCGCCACTGGCGTACCATTGAGCACCACCAGTCTCCTATAAACCCTTCTTGAACCTATCGTAATCAGCCTTTAATGTGCCTGGGAAAGAGCGCAGGCCCAGACTCTTCCCGACTCGACTTATCCCGGAGCGTGTTGCTAGTCAGCCGTTCTCCGAGAAGGAAGGATCCGTTGACATAGGCAGTACTTGATGCTGCCAATAGTGCAAACACTGAGCAACAGCTATACCAAACCAAGTAATAACAACTCTGTAAGCTAAGGTTATCTAGGACGTATATAAAAAGGAAGCAGAAACGAACTTTCTCTTGAAGACGTTTTTCTATTTCAGATCGGATCTGCGACACCTCCACTTGCGCCCGAAGGAACTTAGATTCCTCTGCTTCCAGTGCGGCTTCAGATTCATCAAGAGCTTGCTGAAATCGGCTAGAAGAGTTTACGTAATCATTTCAATTGAATTTCACACATGATTGCCCGCCCTTTCGATGCCGCACAGTTTGGCTCAGACAAAAGCAGCTTCATAATAACTAAAAACAGTCTATAACGGCTCACGTACCCGCAGTTCTTCTTTCTCAAGCTCCAGACGTCTTCTAGCCTTCTGTAGGTCGTGTACACTCTTGCCACCTTCACCAAGCTGATCGGTAATGTCTTTTAGTTCCTGTGCAAGTGACTTGTTCTCACGTCGAATAGCCTCGAACCTACTGCCTTTTAATTAGCTTTTATGCATAAACGTAGGCTCAAATACACAACACTTCTGTAGACAAGAATACAGATACCTGCTCAGAGGCTTCTTCAAGCTGGTTGCGGAGTCGCATCGCTTCTGTCGCTGCTGCGCGTGTGTCACGTTGACTGGATTCAACCTCTTGAACAAGTGCTTCACACTTTCGCCGCCACTCATCGATAACTTTATCGAAGCCTTTCTGTTTCTTCTCCAGTGAGCTCGCTATCGCATTTGCCTAAAATCCTTTCAGTTTATTGTTTTTACATAAAGCAGAACATTTTGATAACATTAGTCAATCTTCCGTGCGCGAGATCGTGTTGGAGAGTTCGTTGCATAACTACTCTAATAACAGGCTGCTTGTTACTCACACAATACGAGAACTTAAAGGCAGTGAACGCAATTGGCTGGAGGAGGTGCTGTATCGATGACGTTATTGAACCTCATTGGTGGGCTAAACCTTTCAGTACGCTAGGATTGGAACCACTCTTACACGTCCAGCATTAACATTTAACGACCTCATTAAACAGTACCGACCCCAACCGTGTTAATCGTTGCCTCCAAAGAGGAACCCCGGTGCACGCCAGTGCGTGGAATAAAGAGACCCTAATGAACAAGACAAGCCAAAATAAAAAAGAAAAAGCTGGAGCAATGGCATCGCCGTCTGTATTATCGACCACTTTTTCTCTATTCGTACGGTTTCTCCGCCTTCTCACGAGTTTTGGCGTTTCTCCCTCAAAGACGGAGCTCGCGATAAAAAGCCAGCTCATTAAAAATTTAGGATATAGAGGGTCTGTGGGTGCAGGGATGAAAACCATACCATACCGGGCCCAAAACCATACCAGAGCCGGGACCAGAATCCGATGAATTGAGACGCCTTCCTTTCCTCGTTGGGTTGGCCGTTGGCGACATCTTCTTGCGAACTCTGCATCGTGCTGCCTCTCTTCATTAACCTATGTACCATCGCTGAACGGCTGTTTAGACGTCTCGAGGCGTGCCACGGCGCTAGCAGGCTCAGGGACGCCACATCTAGTCGCCGGGGCTACCTTGCGAATCGCGTGCAGTGTGCATCTTTTCAGGGGGGTCCGCCAGTTATCTACTAAGTTAATGTTTTTCACTTCCTCCGACCTTATACTGAAATCCTCCCTAAAGTGCACAGCTCAGATGTGTTACTGTACGTGGCCAGTCAGGCGCCGCACATCTCATTCCTTCCGAAGGTACAGCTGATATCGCATGTGATAAGTCACAACTCAATGCCAGACGAATTGAAACTTCGCACCCGAAAGAAAAAACGCGTGAGCACGTTCTAGTCTTTTTGAACTTACTCGTCGCGCAATCGATCTTGTGCGTCCTCCAATTCGTGAACGAGCCTCTGTCTGGTCTTTTCCAATGAGCCGATTTTTTGATTAGCACTTTCCAGTTGTTCTTGAACCTCTTGAACCTGAAGGAAATTATTTACTCTGCTCTGACATAAGTTCACTCAGAAACTGCCATATCAGAGCCAACATAATGCCTCACTTTGTTGGCCAGCTTCCGTCTTGCTTCTTCCAATTCTTCAGCTCTACTCATACCCTCACCCTCGTATCGTGCACGCCACTGCTGAGCTTCAGCATTTGCTTTGCTGGAAATATCGTTGTTAGAGATGGATATGCTGTCATCAGCAAAGGTTTAACTGCTGCTCTAGCATAAACAGCTGTAAGCAAATTTATAATATTTTAATGATCCCCGAAGAGTCCAAACCTGATCAGGCGCTGCAGCTCTGTCTTAGTGTCCTGCTCCTCTTCCAGATTCTCCCGTAGTTGCTCACATTCCAATTGATAATTGGATAACTAGAAATACTGTAAAATGAGGGAAGGAGAACCAGACACATGATTTTTGGGAACTGTACACATAACGTGAATCCATCTTGCTGACTACTACCCTAATTTCTGATAGATAAGCCCGCGCCGATATCACGTAAAGACACCTCCGCTCGTGCAGTGTAATTTTGTACGCCTTAGAAAATATCGTAATAAATTACGAATATGACATTCGTTCTCGGCGCTGGCGCTATTTGGCACCTATTTTCTGCTCATGTGCGCTCTCCAACCGAGAAATATGGTAGGGCACCAAATAACCCTTATACGGAAGTTTACACCGATTTTGGTGAAAGCAAGAATCGTGAGGTGACGCCAACTGGCACCAGATAGCGCCACCGCTAAAATGAATGTAGGCATCATCAGGAACGCTATATGGGCAAAGTTGAACGCTTTGTATTTTCATTCATGTACCTGCAACTGTAGTCCCTGCTTTTCCCTCGTTTCCTGTTCGATTTGCTTCCGAGCTTCTTCAGCCTGAGCATGAAGCTGTTGCTTGATACGAGTGAGAGAGTTCAGTTGTGACTCGGCATCTTCCAGTTGCCTGAATCCAACATAATACAGTACAGCTACCCTAATGCTAAGTGGGAATTCTCAAAAATTAGGTTGGATTGTAAATATTTAGACAACATTGAAAGTTCCAGGGATTGTTATTACAAGGGTGTTGGGTTAGCACAACTCTTCGCCACAGGCGGAGAATTTTTGACTGAATCTTACTTTTTGATTCAATTTTGTTTTAATCATTTAGTTTCGATTTCAATTATTTTTGATCTAATAATTATAACGTCCTTAAACTTCACAGAGATTGCTTGACATTGTGATCTTCTAGGATTATGCACTTAAGAGGAATACAAGGGAGCGGTGCTCAATCAAAAAGACCTATTAAGAAAGAAGTTTAGGATCTAACGAGCTTTGCTTTTCTACCGCCTTTGGGTAACTCGACGGTCATCAAAATTAAAGGAGTCCTTGAAGTTCTGGAACTTGATTGGAGATTGTCCCATGATGATCTTTGCAATAATTGATGCATTACGACATCACGGTTTAATGGCGCATGCTTGGGTGGTCTTGGATTTCAAAAAGAGCCTCAGTTGAACTTATTCAAGGCACGGGTCGAAATTGAGTTGGTGTCTTATTTGTTCGAAAATTAGACAAGAAATGCAATGAGGAACATTAGTGAGGAGAAAAAGCAAGAAAGCGCCATAGAAAACTCTACAATTTCCCTTGTGAGGATCGGCCGTAGTACGACGGAGAGACACAGCGCTGCGAGGAGAGGGAAAACTATCGCATGCAAGGAGGCGCA